GTCCCCCAGGCCAACGACCCCCATGCCATCCATCACCGAGACAACAGTCCCCATACCAACTGTCACCGAGAAAACCGTCACCAACACAACCGTCCCCACGCCAACCATCGCTGAGACAACCGTCCCCACGCCAACCATCGACAACACAACAAACCCAACACTAACCGTCACCACGACAACGGTCCCCACACCAACCGTCGCTGAGAAAACCGTTCCCCACGCCAACCGTCCCCCACCGAGACAACAGTCCCCATACCAACTGTCACCGAGAAAACCGTCACCAACACAACCGTCCCCACGCCAACCATCGCTGAGACAACCGTCCCCACGCCAACCATCGACAACACAACAAACCCAACACTAACCGTCACCACGACAACGGTCCCCACACCAACCGTCGCTGAGAAAACCGTTCCCCACGCCAACCGTCCCCCAGGCAAACCGTCCCACAGCCCAACAGTCGCAGAGACAACCGTCTCCATGCCATCCGTGCCCACGCCATCTGTCACTGAAACAACCATTGCCAAGACAACCATCCGCATGCCAACCGTTACCTAGACATCTGCATCCACGCCAGCCGTCGCCGCGACAACTACCCCCATGCCAACCGTTCCCGATGCAACCGTCCCCAGGCCAACAAAAATCGTCCCCGAGACAACCCTCCCCAAAACAACCATCCCAACGCCTACGGTCCCCATGCCAACCATCCCCACACCAACTGTTGCCACGCCAACCGTTGCCAAGACAATGGTCCCCACGCCAACCATCGCCGACACAACCGTCCCCGGTCACTGACATGACTGCACCTATGCCAACTGTCCCTGATACAACTGCCCCCAGACCAACCCTCCCCACAACAACCATCCCCGATGCAGCCGTCCCCACAATAAACGTTCCCGAGACAACCGTCCCCAAAATAACCATCCCAACGCCAATGGTCCCTACACCAACCGTTGCTATGCCAAACGTCGCCGAAACAACGATCCCCACGCTAACCATCTCTGAGACACCGGTCCAGACGCCATTGTCCCTGAGACAACCGTCTCCAAGACAACTATCACCAAGACAACCGTGCCCACGCCAAGCGCCGCCCAGGCCAACCATCCCTCAGGCCAACACTAGCTGAGACAACCGCCCCCAAGCCACCCATGCCTATGCCAACTGTCACTGAGACAACCATCCACATACCAACCGCTACCTAGACATCTCCATCCACGCCAATCATCGCCGTGACAACTGCCCCCATGCAACCGTCCCCAGGCAAACTGCCCCCACAAAAATCATTCCATGAAACAATCCTCCCCGAAACAACCATCCCAACACCAACCGTCCCCACACCAACTGCCCCCACACCAACCATTGCCACAGCAACAGTCCCCACGCCAATCGCCGCCACACGAACCGTCGCCGAGACTACGGTCCCCACACCAACCGTCATCACGCCAACTGTCACCACGCCAACCGTTACCGAGACAACAGTCCTCACACCAAGCATCGTTGAGATAACTGTTGCCGAGACAACGGTCATCGCACCAACTACCGCCAAAAAACCATCCCCACGCCAACTGTCGCCGAGACAACGGTCCCCACGCCAACCGTCACGACACCAACTGTCACCACGCCAACCCTCGTCGAAACAACAGTCACCACGCCAACCATCGCCGAGACAACGGCCCCCACACCAACCGTCACCGAGACAACACTCCCCACGCCAACCGCCGCCGACACAACGGTCCCCATGCCAACGGCCCTGCCAACCTTCGCTGAAACAACAGTTCCCACGCCAACCATCGCCCAGACAACCGTCCCCACACCAACCGTGACCGAGACACCCGTCACAGAGACACCCGTCCCAGAGACTCCCATTGCTGAAACAACGGTTCCCATGCCATCGGTCCACACGCCAACCGGACCCGAGACAACCCTCCCCACTCCAACCACCCCCATGCCAACCAGCACCACGCCAACCGTCGCCATGCCAACCGTCAGCAACACAACCGTCGCTACGCCAACTCTTACTAGGACAACCACCCCGAAGCCAACCGTCCCCAGGCCAACTGTCGCTGAAACAACCACCTCACGCCAACCGTCCCACAGGCCAACTGTCCCCATGCCAACAGTCACTGAGACAACCGTCCCTAAGCCATCTGTGCCTACGCCATCACTGAGACAACCATCCCCACGGGAACCATTGCCTGACCATCTGCATCCACGCCAACCGTGACAGTGCCAACTGCCCCCATACCGACCATCCCCGATACAAGCATCCCCAGGCCAACTACTCCCAACAAAAATCATCCACGGGACAACCCTCCCCAAAACAACCATCCCAACGCCAACGTTCCCCACGCCAAACATCACCACAGCAACAGTCCCCACGTGAACCGTCGCTGAGACAACAGTCCCCACGCCAACCATCACCGAGACGATAGTCGCCACGCCAACTGTCGCCAAAACAACGGTCCCCACGCCAACCGTTGCTGAGACAACGGTTCTCACGCACACCATAGCCACGCCAACTGTCACTAAGACAATGGTCCCCACGCCAACTGTTGCCAAGACAACCATTGCCAAGACAACAGTCCCCATGCCAACCGTCACCGAGACAACAATCCCCATAACAACTGTCGCTAAGACAACCGTCCCCAAACCGACCATGGCCACGCCAACCGCCACTGAGACAACCGTCACAAAGACAACCATCAGCAAGACAACCGTCGCCATGTCAACCGTCCCGATGCCAACTGTCGCCATGACAACCGTCCCCACGCCAACCGTCGCCGTGTCAACCGTCGCCACGCCAACCGTCCCCGAGACACCCGTCACAGAGACACCCATGGCTGAAACAATGCTCCCTACGCTGATGGCCCTATACGCCAAACGGGCCGAAGACAACCCTCCCCACACCAACCACCCCCACACCAACCGTAGCTGAGACAATGGTCCCCACACCAACCGTTACCAAGACAACGGTTCCCACACCAACCGTTGCCCGGCCAAGCGTCACCACACCACACCAACTGTCAACAAGACAACAGTCCCGACGCCAACTGTCCCCACGCCAACCGTTGCTGAAACAACTATCCCCAATGCGAACCGTCACCCAGGCCAACGATCCCCATGTCAACCGTCACCGAGACAACAGCCCCATGCCAACCATCACCACGCCAACCATTGCAGAGAAAATGGTCCCCACGCCAACCTTCACCATGACAACCGTCACCAAGAAAATGGCCCCCATGCCATCCGTTGCCACGCCAACCGTGGCCGTGAAAACTGCCCCCATGCCAACCGTCCGTGATGCAACCATCTGCAAGCCAACTGTCCCCACAAAAATCGATCCCTACGCAGCCCTCCCCAAAACAACTATCCCAACGCCAACGGTCCCCACGCCAACCGCCGCCACATCAACAGTCCCCACGCCAACCGTCGCAGAGACAGCGGTCACCAAAACAACCGTCGCCAGGTCAACTATCGCTGAGACAACCATCCCCACGCCCCCCACCCACCGCCAAGACACCCGCCCCCACGCCGACCGTCACAGAAACAACGGTCCCCACACCAACCGTCGCCGCGCCAACCATCGCTGCGCCAACCATCGCTACACCAACCATGCCCATGCCAACAGTCACTGAGACAACCAACCCCACGCCAACCACCCACATACCAACCGTTGCCTACACATCTGCATCCACACCAACCGTCAACGAGACAACTGTCCCCACACCAACTGTCGCTGTGACAACGCCATCCCAAATACAACCGTTCTCTAGGCCAACTATCCCCACAAAAATCGTCCCCAAGACAATCCTCCACAAAACAACCATCCCAACGCCAACGTTCCCCATGCCAACCATCGCCACAGCAACAGTCCCCATGCGAACCGTCGCACAGACAACGGTCCCCACACCAACCGTTGCTGAGACAACGGTTCTCACGCCAACCATTGCCACGCCAACCGTCACATAAACAACCGTCCCCATGCCAACCGTCGCCGACACAGTGGTCCTCACGCCAACCGTCGCTGACAGAACTGTAGCAAAGACAACCACTCCCACTCCAACCACCGCTGAGACAACCGTCCCCAAGCCAACCATGCCCCCGCCAACCGTCACTGAGACAACCGTCGCAAAGACAACCATCAGCAAGACACCCGTCCCCATGCCAACCGACACCGTGACAACCATCCCCGCGCCAACCATTGCCGTGTCAACCGTTCCCACGCCAACCATCACCAAGACACCCATCCTGGAAACACCCCGTCCCCGATGCAACCGTCCTGGAAACACCCATTGCTGAAACAACGGTCCGCACGCGATCCGTCCACATGCCAACCGGACCGGAGACAACTCTCCCCACGCAAAAAACCCACACGCCAACCATCACCACGCCAACCATCGCCGAGACAACGGCCCCCACACCAACCGTCACCGAGACAACACTCCCCACGCCAACCGCCGCCGACACAACGGTCCCCATGCCAACGGTCGCCGAGGCAATGGTCCCCACGCCAACTGTCGCCAAGACAATGGTCCCTATGTCAACCATCCCCCACGCCACCCGTCGGCCAGGCCAACCGTCCCCACGCCACCTGTCGCCAAGACAATGGTCCCCATGCCAACCGTTGCCAAGCCAAGCGTTGCCATGCCAACTGTCACCGAGACAACGGTCGCCACGCCAACCGTCCCCATGTGAACCGTCCCCACGCCAACCGTCACCAACACAACCATTGCCGAGACAACCATCCCCATGCCAACCGTCGCTGAGACAACAGTCCCCAAGCCAACCATGCCCACGCCAACCGTCACTGATACAACCATCATGAAGCTAAATGTCCACACACTAACCATCGCTGTGACAATCGTCCCCACACCAACTGTCGTTGAGACACCCGTCACAGAGACACCCAGCCTGGAAACACCTGTCCCTAAGACAGCCGTCCCGGAGACACACATCGCTGAAACAACAGTCCCACACCAATCATTGCCACACCAAACGTCCCTGAGACAATGGGCCCCACG